GAACAGCGAGGGCAGTTCTTCATCTCAAGTGCAATTAAATACTAGTAGAACCTCTTCTACTACCAGAGCGGATACATCAGCATTCTCACTGGGTAACAACCTTACTGCACCAGAGAGAGATGGCATAGTCATAACACTTCAGGATCTCAGTATGATTCTGATTCTGACCCTGATAACGATTTTGGCGATCTTCCAAGCGACCCAGATGAGAATGAGGAACTCAAAAGGCTGGCAGGGCGGATCATGCGAGTGCATATGTCCAGCCTTAACTCTTACTCTCGATTTGGAAGGAGACCGCAGCGCAAGAAGCCCGCCGGTCCTTCCACCACATCGAGGGAGACTGTAGGTTGTTGATGGCCACGAACAATGAGTATTGTTCCCTGTATTACAGTCCAAATTCGTTCCTTCCCCGAAAAAGACAAGTCGTGCTCCTCAGAAGGTGCTCACTACAGTGATTAACGCCAGCTCGGAGGATGCTCCGTGGGAAACGGTAAAAGAGTGTGACTAGTACAATTGTATGGATATGTTTCTGCCGCTATAGGTCTTTATGGCTGAGGTTGCTGACAACAAGAACTTGAAAGAATCGGTGAAGGATGATTTAATTAAAATGATGCGGTAATAAGCTGCCTGCCGATGCTCAGGACCATTTGGGACTTCCTCTCAGGGTTCTAACAGACGAGCTCGCTACCGGAGGTTCCTTGTCGACGCTGAGACGGTGCCTGCAAGTGGGCAGGGCTGTAAAACGATGGATACCAGAGGAGGCTTCCTCGTGGAGTCCTATAAGGAAGGTCGCTAGTGAGCTGGTATTCCTAGCACGAGACCAGATCCGGGAATTAAGCCTTCATAACGGGGCGACGACAGTGAGTATGCAGCAACCTCTGTTGGTTTCTTCATGTGTTACCAGGCTGATGTGTTGCTCATGCCACCTGAGCTACCGCAACAGGCATCAGGCGTCAGGAGGCATAGACCCGAAGGTGATGTTAGCAACACCATGCATAGCATCATACAAGGGATAGCAAGGGATGCGGATGAAGCTGCTAATGTTGGCTCTCAGAGGAGTAAATTACGAAGAAGTGAGTCGTGTATAGTCATCAGTACCCGAGTTTACGTCTCCATCATCAGTTGAAGTAGGGATAGACTCAGAACCTTCTGGAGGTGGGCGGCGAGCAGCTGATTCTGATGTTGGGAGTCCGCAGGAGGAGTCGGATGGTGGCGTTGCCGATTGTGATGATAGCGATGATGACGACAGTGTTGTTGTTATTGATGTTGATGATGATGACATACTTGATGCTTATTGATTTTAACGTTTCTTGGTGATGGTAGTAGTAGTATGGAGCTGCTGTGCAATGTGTTAAGCTTTCTGACTTTCTACATTCAAGTCACATGATGTGTTGAGTGATGATCTACCCAGGATTTGGATATCACCTGAGAGCCTCGCAATTTAGTGTATACTCTCAACGCTTCTCTCGATCTACTGGCTCTTCCCAACATCATCATCAATACTCGATGTGGTCACCAATGAAGATAGTGGAGTATACCACCCGTGTGTAGTTTCGTATTTCATCAGACTTAGTTATGAGAGAGTCTAGCATAGCTTCCGAGACGAAATTCTCAAAGTGAGAACTAGCTCGCGATCTGTTCAACACAACCCCCATGCAGTTATTAACTGCCAGTTAGGTATAACATTGACTATTCTCAACCCACCCTTCCACGCCGCAGTGGTCCACTCCGTATCAGCATACGTATATCAGATATATCTCTCGTATGTCTCATATGCTATATTTCTCACATAACTTATGGTACTTTTATTCATCGCAATGTTCGATTTCAACTCTATTTCTAAGTTTTTTTCATAATATTAAATAGTGTCGCTCGTTATCCAACACGATATTATTATGTTTGTAGCGCCAACCTCGTCTACTCAGTCATCTTCGGCAACCTTTGTTGAGGACCAAAGAACTTTTCAAGAGAGGATTAAAAAATACAAAACTTCCTGCAAGGATTTGGATCTACGAAGACGCGGACGTCCCGTTAGTGGAAACAGGATTCAACTTTCACATACATACATACATTCTGTACTTCTACTGCGTGGCAAATCCGTCAATGTGGCCTGCTAACGACGCAGAAGTTCCGCGGCAGAACTTAACATTACCCGCAACACGACGTGTGATACCACCACGTCGATCTACTAAAATCTGTTCTGAATGCTACTTGTGATCCATGTAAAACCCGATTTTTTCCGAAGCTCAAAGTCGAAGATATACCTAACGAGCTTGGAGAATTTGCTCTTCAGAAGAATATGAATTCTCCGACCCTTTCGACTAAAGATGTCAAGTACGAGCGGAATCAAGAATTTGGTTCTGTGTCTGGGATCTCTGATGCTCTTCTACGACGTCGTCCTCCTGTTGCTGGCAGTGATTGCCATATTTTATCGTCTTTATTAAATTATGGTGAGAGGTATTGGAACTTCTCCTATCATACTTGGTGTTATACCCCTGCTAGTGTCATCAAATATGTTAGTTATGATGTTCTAAAGCCATGGTTAGGTGACACTACAGGCTATGAGTTCTACTCGCAGAGCAGTGCTCTAGTGAGGGTGTTAGAAGACACGTATGAGCTTGACGTTCCTCTTATTTGCTGGTTGTTCTACAATGTCATTGAGACGAAATGTACTAGCGAGGTCAAACGTGAACGAGCTAGGGATACTCTGAGGAGATTCTTCCTGTCGTCCAGAAATGATATGCTTCAACTTGCTGATGACATTGAACGAAATGTACAAGTAGATGTGCAGTTGAGTACTTCAACTACTTTCATCGATTATAATCTCGAGAATGGTGAAGGTGCCCAGAGAGCTATGACCTGTCAGTGGTTCAACAAATGCAACGTATTCCATCACCTGTGCGGGGAGATATCGTTCACAAAGCTTCTAATTTGCTTACTCTGAACACTTCTACATATACATCGTTACAATGTCATCGTACGTCATCGACGA